AGCAGGAATGATGGTGGAGCACTCCTACTGGACACTGATAAGAACAGATACTGCACTTGATCTTTGCCAAAAGGTGAGAAGTGAAAGTAGAACTACTGAATAGGCAAAACTGTATTTTTCGTTTTTGGATAGAGTAAGGAAGTAATATCACCCCGTCAGTTCTTTTTTGCCATCTGTGTCGCATTGGGGAGATTTCACTTCACTTCCTGTCTCATGGTCAAAATAATTCCTGCAAATTGATGGAATACCTCAGTGTCACCAGGGCCACCTGAACTCCACATTGGAAGATTTTACCTCCATTACTACCCTGGGGACAACCCAAAATTTGGGGATTTACTTTCAACAATGATGGTAAGCAGGACAAATAGAGAGGGCAAATCTCCTTAACAAAGCAGAGGAAGCAATAAAAACCTGACAGGTGTTCTAGTTCATCTCCATTCACAGGCATCTCCTGGTCTCTGTTCAAGATCTGGAGTTGGTGGGATGGGTTCCTCAATATGTGACCCTTGTGACAGCCAATCGCAGTGATCACATGATTAGGAAGTCTGTGCTGCCTTCTTAAGAGAGCAGCCTCTATTTCTTTAGTAAATTTACCCAACAGATTTGATGAAACCTAGATTTACACTATATTCAGCATTTATTGTAAATTGGGCTATGAATATAGGGTTGAACTTAAAATTCAATAATGTAATATTGAGTAAGATATAGAACAGGAGTTTGTCAAACATTTTATTACAGATCTTATACCTTTTACCCCTTTGCGTCGGCGCCTCCCTGCCCTTTAAGAGGTTTCAGAAGCCGGGAGGTGGGGAGGGGTTTTAGGGTCATCTGACTGCCATAATTCGCTGTCACGGTGGTCACATTATCAGAAAAGATCCCGATCGCAAGGGGAGATCTGGACCTTTCCGTGAGTCACGGACATATAGGTGAAACTCGAAAAATTTGAATATCGTGCAAAAGTTCATTTATTTCAGTAATGCAACTTAAAAGGTGAAACTAATATATGAGATAGACTCATTACATGCAAAGCAAGATAGTTCAAGCTGTGATTTGTCATAATTGTGATGATTATGGCTTACAGCTCATGAAAACCCCAAATCCACAATCTCAGAAAATTAGAATATTGTGAAAAGGTGCAATATTCTAGGCTCAAAGTGTCCCACTCTAATCAGCTAATTAAGCCATAACTCCTGCAAAGGGTTCCTGAGCCTTTAAATGGTCTCTCAGTCTGGTTCAGTGGGAATCACAATCATGGGAAAGATTGCTGACCTGACAGTTGTGCAGAAAACCATCATTGACACCCTCCATAAGGAGGGAAAGTCTCAAAAGGTAATTGCAAAAGAAGTTGGATGTTCCCAAAGTGCTGTATCAAAGCACATTAATAGAAAGTTATGTGGAAGGGAAAAGTGTGGAAGAAAAAGGTGCACAAGCAGCAGGGATGACCGCAGCCTGGAGAGGATTGTCAGGAAAAGGCCATTCAAAAGTGTTGGGGACTTTCACAAGGAGTGGACTGAGGCTGGAGTCAGTGCATCAAGAGCCACCACACACAGACGGATCCTGGACATAGGCTTCAAATGTCGTATTCCTCTTGTCAAGCCGCTGCTGAACAACAAACAATGTCAGAAGCGTCTTACCTGGGCTAAAGAAAAACAGACCTGGTCTGTTGCTCAGTGGTCCAAAGTCCTCTTTTCTGATGAGAGCAACTTTTGCATCTCATTTGGAAACCAAGGACCCAGAGTATGGAGGAAGAATGGAGAGGCATACACTGAAAGATGCTTGAAGTCCAGTGTGAAGTTTCCACAGTCTGTGTTGATTTGGGGAGCCATTTCATCTGTTGGTGTTGGTCCACTGTGCTTCATTAAGTCCAGGGTCAAAGCATCCGTCTACTAGGAGATTTTGGAGCACTTCATGCTTCCTTCCACAGACGAGCTTTATGGGGATGCTGACTTCATTTTCCAGCAGGACTTGGCATGTGCCCACACTGCCAAAAGCACCAAAACCTGGTTCAATGACCTTGGGATTAATGAGCTTGATTGGCCAGCAAACTCGCCTGACCTGAACCCGATGAATCTATGGGGCATTGCCAAGAGAAAGATGAGAGACATGAGACCGAACAATGCAGAAGAGCTGAAGGCCGCTATTGAAGCATCCTGATCTTCCCTAACACCTCAGCAGTGCCACAGGCTGATAGCTTTTATGCCATGCCACATTGAGGCAGTAATTGCTGCAAAAGGGGCCCAAACCAAGTACTGAGTACATATGCATGCTTAGAATTTTCAGAGGACTGATATTGTTCTATGTACAATCCTTGTGTTATTGATTGCATGTAATATTCTGATTTTCTGAGCTTGTGGATTTGGGGTTTTCATGATCTGTAAGCCATAATCATCACAATTATGACAAATCATGGCTTGAACTAGCTTGCTTTCCATGTAATGAGTCTATCTCATATATTAGTTTCACCTTTTAATTTGCATTACTGAAATAAATGAACTTTTGCACGATATTCAAATTTTTCGAGTTTCACCTGTATGTGCTGGGAGCATGCAGGGCACGCACTCTCAGCACATATGTGTTTTCAAACGGTACGCAAATATGCGGCCGCTCGGCGTCAAGGCCCAGATACCGAGAGGCCGCATATTTGTGTGGGCTCGGCACCTAGGGGTTAATAACGGTCTTGCTCTGGAAAGGATAAATACAACAAGAGAAATAAATGTTTCAGCTATGAAAAATTTCACTGTAGGTGTCGTCGTGTGCTGATCATGTGACCAAAAGCCTAGGCATATGGTTATGTCACCTTTGTTGAAGGGGAGGATCAGTTTAGACTGACTAATCTTCCTTTGTGGGAAAGATCACACAGCCAAAAGGATAGACTTATTGTCATACGACCAGCATAAAAAGAATCCTGTAGCAGCATTTTCTCCAGTAAAAGTATTTCAGCCCTTTTTACTCTGTTTCCTAGTACAACAAGACTGGGGGTGGTTTACTAAAGTCAAATAGCCTGTACACTTTGTAAAGGAATTTCCCTTAGCTTAGTGAATATGGTGAGGCTCTGCTGACTGACCTCATCCAATCATGTGCAAGTAAATACAATTTGTTATGTTCTTCGCAAGTGATACTTTGCAAAATTAATTTTTACCACATCCACTAAGCTCCCTTACAAAGTGAAAACTCCATTGCAAAGTGAAAAGCCTATTTTCTTTAAAGAAACCTATGCTTTATAAAGCCATCCACAACTCAGCTCCCAGTTACATCACTAACCTTGTGTCAAAATACCAACCAAATTGTTCTCTCCGTTCCTCCCAAGACCTCCTGTTCTCTAGCTCCCTTGTCACCTCCTCCCATGCTTGCCTTCTGGACTTCTCCAGAGCTGCTCTCATCCTCTGGAACTCCCTTCCCCAATATGACCGACTATCTTCTACTCTGTCCGATTTTAGAAGATCCCTAAAAATTCATCTCTTCAGAGTGGCCTATCCTGGCCCCACCTAGCAACTGTAAATGTATTTTTTCCATCAGCCCATCCCCCAGAGTTATTACTTTTTTATCAATTGACCCTCCCTCTTAGATTGTAAGCTCTAACGACCAGGGCCCTCTGATCCCGCCTGTATTAATTTTTGTTGTAATTGTACTGTCTGCCCTTATGTTGTATGAACTATACAAACTGTTGGCACTATATAAATCCTGTATAATAATAATAATGCTGATGATGACCCCTGCTTCTGAAAATACTAGCTTTTAGGCTGCCATATTGACTTGAGCACTTTTTAAGTCACATGCCTGAATGCTTGTTTCGGGATGTCCAGGAATCAAGTCAGGTGATCAGAATGAATGCCAAGCATTCATTAGAATGGCAGTGATAACTGCCCCCACATTTCTTTCATCATGAGCTTCTTTTAAGAGTAAGCAGAAAAATAGACAGAAATTAACAGAAAATATGTGAATTAATCATGTGCATAGAAAGTACTGTACTGTATATGTTATAAAAAGGAACCTTCTTGGCACATTATCATATTCTTTGCCCCTAACACATCCCTTTCCAGCCTAGGGCTAGTGCTCTTGCTTATACGCTGCAATTTATGGAACTTATATTTTTATTAATGTTGATGTTACTGTGCAGCATAAATGTAAAAAAATCAAAATCTAAAAAAAGATTTTGCCCAGCAATTTTGTAAACTCTGGCTCCTTCCTCCAATAATGTATTTATTCAGGGCCTGTAAAGCATAACTTAACCCCTTTACGCTGAGCGCAAGCAAATATGCAGCCTGTTGGTGTCTGGGCCTTCACACCGAGCGGCTGCATATTTGCGTGCAATTTGAAAATACATATGTGCCGAGAGTGCGTGCCCTGCACATTCCCAGCAGATATGTCCGTGCCTCGCGGAAAGGTCCCGATCTCCGATCATGTGACCACCGTGATGGCGAATCACAGCGGTCACATGACCCTAAAATCCCGCCTCCCGGCTTCGCAGGGAGGCGACGGCGAAGAGGTTAAGATTGTCCTTTGTACATTTATGTATTTAAATACACACAGGGGTGGACTGACAACTCATGGGGCCCCCGGGCAATAGGGGATCATGGGGCCCCTGTGTCCTTGTCCAAACTCAAAAAAGCCTATGAAAAAGGTACCAGGGTCATCTCATGGGGCCCCCTACTGACCCCAGTCCCTCAGGCAGTGCCCGAGTTTACAAATGGTAAGTCCGCCCCTGAATACACATTATATAGGTAAAAATTTTCAGCCTATATTATCACTTCTACATAGCACTCTCATTATGACAGCGCTGAACGCAGACTGTGGAGAGAGGAGGGAGAGAGTGGGAGCGGGAGCATGAGGCTGATGCAGGAGGTGACATCCAGTGTATGGCAGCTCTAAAAGCAGACTGTGGAGAAGGGGAGCAGAGTGCGGGAGCACGCATCTGAATGAGACTGAATGTAGCAGGAGTTGACAGTTATGGCATAACATAAAGCTATTATGATCTCACATCCTGCTACATTCAATCTGACATGTACTTCCGCTCTTTGCAGACTTCATACACAGGATGTCACCTTCCACTACATCAGGGGCGGACTGACCATTTGGAAACTCGGGCACTGCCCGAGGGCCCAGGGTCAGTAGGGGACCCCATGGGATGCCCCGGTACCTATTTCATAGGCTTTTTTGAGTTTGGGCAAGGACACAGGGGCCCCATGATCCCCTATTGCCTGGGGGCCCCATGAGTTGTCAGTCCGCGCCTGCACTACATTAAACCATGTGATTCAGCTCTCTGCTCCCGCTCTCTGCATTTAGCGTTGCCATACAGAGCACTCACCTCCTGCTTCAGCTTCATGTTCCTGCTCTCTCCACTCCTCCTGGTGCCACCCTTTGAGTTCACAGGAGCTGGAACTACAGAGAGGGCATTAGGTACCTCATTGTCAGCAGTGGTGTATTTAGGTTTTGTGCTGCCCTAGGCAACACAAAAATTGGTTGCCTTACATCAACACCCCCCCCCCACCACTACCACCACCACTACCCCCCTTGGCTGAGAGAGCCTTCTACTTAGACTCGCCAAAAGCCGCCCCCCCCTCCCGCCTGTCAAGAGAGCCGTCCACTTCCACCACCCCCCATACACCGCCACCCTTCACAGTTCCAGACATTCCAGGGAACGAGAGTCGGGTTCTGCATACAACGTCAAACAGCCTTTCTTGGATCCCTCTTGGTCCCAATGCTGCATGTGTCCCTTGTTCCAGGGGGCGGTGCTGCCCCACTGAAAAATTATGCCCCAGGCAAATGCCTTGTTTGCCTAGCAGTAAATACACCTCTGACTGTCAGTACTGTCAGTGCGCATTGAAAACAGCATTGGGAGGATATACTGTTCATCTGCCACAATGTTGATTTGTGGCAGACCCCTGGGGGCTTTGGGTTCTAGAAAACCCTGTTGAGGAACCCAGACATAGAGCTTTATTTATACTTCATTTAGAATCACTTGTCCAGTTCTTTGAGATCAATTGCAGAAGTTTTTTACACTCTTCTCACCAGCACAGTGGAACAGCACAGTGGCTAAAAGGTTAGCACTTCCACCTGGTAGTACCACGGTCCTTGGTTCAAATCCCAAACCTGCTTGGAGTTTGCATGTTCTCCCTGTGCCTCCGTGGGTTTCCTCTGGGTACTCCGGTTTCCCACCACACTCCAAAGACATGCTGGTAGGTTAATTGGATCCTGTCTAAATTGGCCCTAATATGTGAATGTATGGATGTAAGTTAGGGACTTTAGATTGTTCACCCCTTGAGGGTTAGGGACTGATGTGAATGTACAATATGTATGTAAAGCACTGTGTAAATTGATGGTGCTATATAAGTACATGTAATAAATAAATAATAATAAATCTAAATAATCAATAGTAGTGAAATTGAATCTCCCGAGCATTGGAGGTCAGTGGTTTCTTACCTGATCCCATGCCTGACATTACCAGCGTATTTTCAGTGGCTGGTGGTTGAACACTGAGCATTTTTTGCACTCTGCAAAGAGGGCAACAAGTGGGAGACCCAGCCTGGGACACAGAGAGCTGGCAGTCCAACTACTGGGCACCAGCAGTCAATCCTTTAGATTGTAAGCTCCACGAGCAGGGCCCTCACATCCCTTCTGTACTGAAATGTATTGTAATTGTACTGTCTCCCTTATATTGTAAAGCGCTGCGCAAGCTGTTGGCGCTATATAAATCCTGTATAATAATAATAAAAATACTTAGAAAAAATTGTAAAAACAAAAACCAAAAAAGAGCAGATTTGATGGACCACTTGGTCTTTTTCTGTTGTCACTCTCCTGTGTTTCTATTTTAAAACTAGGTTGAAAAGACAATACATTGCCTTTAAAGCACTTTTTTACACTTTATTTTGTATTTGTAAATTTCAGAGCAATCTACATAAAGAGAGAAAGAAGAGATAGTGATCGTGCAGATTGAAGTCTGTGCAGTGAAACATCAAGAAATAATGCAGCTCAGCTAATTTCTATGTGGTCACTTAGACCTTCATCATAAGGCTACTGTCAAACCATATAGGAAATCTCTGGCGTCAGACCTTTCTATATGAAACAAAGTTATTCATCCAACTTGGGTTTTTGCCTAATGTCTCTGAGAAGTCATTAGGCATTTGGATCTCATACATAGATGGATGGCTGATCTCTACATTACTCTGAAAGTATGAGTCTAGTTTTCTGGCATGGAGCCTGAATGTAACAGAGGATGTACTGTAAACATGGTAGGGGCAATCATTTTATTTAATTTACAAGTAGAAAGACATCCTGTGGTAAACATCACCAGAAGAGTGAATGCCTAAAAAGAAAGCTATTATGTAGTGTTTACATGAAGTACTGCAGGAAAAACTGGTATACATGTACAGAACATTACATCTTACCCTACAAAACAGATCTGTAATGCACAAGTTAAGCTACCCATGCATAGAATTCATTATATGTCTTAGCACAAGTAGAAGTCTAGCTATTACATCATTCCAGTATACTTTCCAGATTGCCCCAAAGTGACTTTTCCATACAGAAAAACAGGTTACATAACTTGAAATGATACAAAGTGGAGCAGCTCACTGCAGTTCTGCAATATTAGAGGTACATACTCCCTCTAAATTATTCATTTTATTAATGTACTCTGGCACAGCAAGAGTATGAGGGACCTATTCAAAGCTACACACACTAAAGCAGGCCATACATGAGTCGAAAAACGAACAAAATTTCATGTTGAAAGAATTCAGTTGTTCAATTTTGAAATCATGTGCGCCCACAGCAACAGCTAATTTTCATGCATCCATAAAAATTGATAGATCCAACACATTGGAAATTTTTTGTGTTTGATTCTCTAACTGTCTATAGGGTTATCATTTGAAAAAAAAAAAAATAAAACTGAAATGCGCATGAGCAAAAAGAACGTTCTCAGTCACTAAAGTTCTGTCATATCCTATGTTGATGACCATAGTGTAATATTTGTGTTTTTAAACTATAGTAAATAAAAGAATTCCTGCAGCCAGAGGTGGCCATAGGGGACCAGCACATTCAACAATTGGTGTATTGCAGCCTTGTAGTCACAACAAGAAATCCAGAGATATTTGGGTCTGGAAGTGTGTTATTTAACATTATAAACCCAATATTAATATTAAACGTTCAAGCCAATATCTCAGAATACTGTACATTGCATCATTCCGCAGATGAAGAAAAACATTTTTCACAGGGAAAATTCCGAAACAATTGATAGCACAATCGTATGAAACACCAAATGACAATTTAAATTTTAGTTCAACAGGTTGTGTTTTGTTTTTCCACTTGCCTATGGCTAGCCTTACTCAATTAGTACATAACACCTGTATATACTGTATGTACTTGTAGATATAGTAGACATCTAGACTTGCCCTTTAAGCAATCATTTAACAGATTTCTATATGTTAGTTTTCTGCATGGAAATAAGTGATTTTATCAGGAAGGTGAAGATATTCATGGCTGCTGCCTCTCCCTTCTTTCTCTTAATATTCTAATAATATAAAAAAAACTAATGGTCATAATTTTCCATTACAGTGTTATTACTAGTAATACATAAACCGCAGGAAATTCAGCTATTTGTTCAATGGGCTGAATAATCACTATCTATTTAGAAGGCAACAGACTATTAACCAGGCCTTTTAATTCCCTATTGGGTTGCTGGAAGAGCTCATGGTCCCTGTTCTGGAGAACAGACTTTTCTCCCATCACTGTTGGTATCTGGATGAATCAGTATCTTATACTGGTGTTTTGAAACATGCAAAAGATAATTTTTGCTTGTAAATTTTTAGAGCATTGCTGTGTTTTTGTGTCTAGACTGACTTTCATTGTCCTTTAGAATTTTTACAATTCATGCATGTCAAGTGTGTCCTGCAGTGACTAAGGGTCAGCAGTAGCAAGGACAGTGGTCAGCAGATGGACACATTTTTTCACTAATCCAACTGAATTGGAGCTCTGCTACAGAGTGAACTTTCAGGAAACAAGCCGATATACAGGAATGTATAGCACTACAGTCTTTTTTTTCCTCAAATGATGAACCTTATAAGGCTTTCTCCAAGCATTGCATTGGACATCTACTCACACTGCACTGGATTAATCTACTGCATATCTACATAAAATTATAACTTAACAAAAGGCATTAATACCACAAGTTGCCAGCTGTCCTTTGGTCCTAGTGCTAGGCCTGGCTAAATGGGGATAATCCTCCTCCACCTTAGAAGGTGCATGAGCATCATCAAGTCTGTGAGTCACCCTTATTGGTGGTAAATTGGCACCATTGTTGTTATCTGTGGCTTTGAAAACTAAAGAGTGCTATGAATACCATATATTTTTAATTTAAGAGTTCTCATGGTCCTTCAATAACACACACTCCTCACTATCTGCAGTACACACTGGGGGAAATATACTAAAACTGGCGCTCATAGAATTTGGTTCAACTCTGTGTGGTATCCAATCAGCTTCTAACTTCAGCTTGTTCAATTAGGCTTCAGCAATAAAACATGGAAGCTGTTTGGTTTATTGGTTTCTATACAGAGCTGCACAAGATTTTGCATTCTTCAGTTCCAGTAAATAACACCCCCCAATCTTCTAAGTGCCTTTGACTCTCCTTGTAAATTGAATCTGTATATACTGTACACGTGAAAAGAGTATGGCTCTAGACATCATTATGTCAAACCCTTATGAACACAACACAACTGCCTTTACAATTGTCCTTTAAACATTGCTGGGGCTTTACAATGTTGTTGAAATACTTTGTAATACTAATAAATCTTAATTTATCAGCATCTGGAAGTCTATGTCCACCAACTAGTGTCTGTCTATATACAGTGGCGAAAATAATTTTGGCCTAGCCAGTCTCAAGACCTTAATCTTATAGAAAATTTATGGAGGGAGCTGAAACTTTGAGTTGCCAAGCGACAGCCAAGAAACCTTAAGGATTGAGAGAAGAATGGACCAAAATTCCTACTGAGATATGTGCAAACATGGTAACCAAATACAAGAATAGTCTTACCTCTGTGCTTGCCAACAAGGGTATCGTGTTTTTTTCTGGATTTTTGGTTAACATTCAGTCTCTATCATTTAAAATGCACCTATGATAAAAATTATAGACCCTTCCTTTCTTTGTAAGTGGGCAAACTTACAAAATCTGCAGGGAATCAAATAATATTTTCCCCACTGTGTGTATGTATATATATATGTGTGTGTGTGTATGTATATA